ACCAATATGTATATGCACATATAACCAGATTTTTGGTGTCCTATAGGATTTAGATAGTTTTCTATAGGACTTGATTAAGTCCTATAGGATTTAGTTTTATAGGATAATATGCAAACCTTTAGAACACCTTTAAAATCCTATAGGATCCTGTAGGATTCCTATAGGACATTTTCGTAAGGGTAGTTTATATCAGCAGTAGTATAGCTGTAATAACCGGTAATAACGGACGCGACGTTCCATATCCGAGTACGCCTTGATTTTATGTTTTATGGGAAGCGACGTTCCATACGTTGGAAATTCCAATTCTATTTTTAAAACTGTTAATAAAATTTAACAATAGACCTCCATACTAAACAGAAAGAGACTAAATAACAACTTTCAGCGAAGGAACGCAAAAAAAACATTACGGTAAGACTTTACTTTTTTATGAACATTACTTTGTGTATCTAGTACATACACATTCACCCATGGAGCTATAAATCTAATTTTATATCTAGGCCTATGCTTCATTAGTTATGATCTAATCATGTTTTTTCGATTCTTACTAGATTATAGACAAATATTATACAGCAGCAGTATTAAGCATCGCCTACAGCGCCGCCATCTTTAGGCAGAATATGAGAGAAGACAGTCTTCTGCGTTTTAAGGGTACCTATAAACACTCTTAAGTTTGATATGTTTTGAATTATGATCAGTGAGTTGTTATTTAGTCTAAATAAACAACTCCTAGTTACTATCAAATTTAATTCAATGTTTGTTTTTTTTTTTATTAAACTGTGGTTAATATTATATATTCAGATAGGGCTAAAATTAAGTTACAAATTACAAAAGAATGCGAGAATTATTAGGCCTAATCAGTTGTGATGTTATAAGAAGTCATTGCAGGTAATCACACCATAGAATTTGAAAAAAAAAATGTATCCAGATTTGCATGATGATTTTTTATTAAACTGTGGTTAATATTATATATTCAGATAGGGCTAAAATTAAGTTACAAATTACAAAAGAATGCGAGAATTATTAGGCCTAATCAGTTGTGATGTTATAAGAAGTCATTGCAGGTAATCACACCATAGAATTTGAAAAAAATGTATCCAGATTTGCATGATGCGGTGTAGACACCACAAACCCGTCCGTTCAACTCTTTAAGTGTTGGTGTAAGCCTACCTTATCCAGATTCAGATGATCCCAGATACAATAGTTTAGTGTAGGCCTAATGCATAGCAATTCGACATTAACGCTATATAGACGTTGTTGTTTTTAGGGGTATTATTCCCGTAATAGAAAAAATAAATAATAATTAAATATATAATAAACAAATTGTATATGTATGTGAATTTGGTGATGATGCGTGTATATATTTCTATGCACCATGTGTTTGTGAATGTATATATAATCATATACGTGTAAGTATGTGCATGTGCACGTATGTATAAGTACGTGTGTATATATGTACGTATACATATTTGTGTATTTATAGATAAATAAAAAGATCACTATAGAGTAACATTTTTGAAAATATTAAATAAATTAGAAAAGAAAAGTTTTAATTTCTAGCCAGTCATAGCGAATGACCCCCTTTTCAGTGCAATTGAATTTTAATTTCTCATGTTCTTTTGTTATGCTTACCGGTATGTCTTTGACGACAAAAAAATGAAATGAAATGAAAGAAATAAAGGTTGGTGAAATCCCCACAAGAGAGAGAAAGAGAGAGAGAGAGAGAAAACGCTATATAGACGTAATGGGCCTAAATATATATTTTTTTTCATTTAAATATAATTTTTTTTTTTTTGCAGATTAAAATGGCAAATGAAAGTGATGAACAGAAATTTAGAGAATTTCTCTTTAACTTTTCTGAAATTTACCCTGGTATTAAATACAAATGGTTGAGATTGCTCCTATTTGACTACATACCCTTAGCGGAACTTGACAGTGAAAACAATACCGGAATGGATTTATTCAATATACTCCTGGCGCGGGGTGTTATTTTCATGACCAATGTGACAATTCTAAATGAAATTGCTGAAGTTACAGATCAAAGATCTGCAATAGCTCTTGTAAATGATTATATAGCAGCTAATCAAAATACGATTGTAAATGGTACGGAGAAATTAAAGCATTATCGGAAGCAACTTTTCAAAGCATTAACACAAATCGGAAGAGCAACAGAACTAAAAAGAGTGACTGGTTTCTACACACGGAATGACTTCAGATTCAAAAATATTTGGGATGTTGTATTCTACCTAGAGAAACAATCAATGTTGGTAATTGATGTGAAAGAAGACAGGGAGAGATTCGCAAAATTACTCAACAAAAGAGCAAGCGGCATATTTCTAGGTACTGTATGTTGCTTTTATGGTCACGTTATTTGTACAATATCGCATTCGTGTTAAGCATGTTAATACATACTCCAAGTATCGAAATGCACGCCATCGTGTCGGGATTCAATATTTCGACATTAATTATGTCATCATCAGGAATGAAAAATTATCCATATTTGCAAGCTTATTATGCACAAGTACCAAAAGTGTTTGACCAAACAAAACATTACCCCTAGTAGATGACATAGCTATGAATAAACTAAAGATCAAAGCATTCTTACCCTACTGATCAAAGCTACCTACAAAAACAAAGAAAGCTTCTTTTGAAGCTTTCAGCCCATTGTTAAACAATGGGTGTAGCCTAAGTATAGCAAACGCTTCTTTAAACAATAGTATAGACCAATTTTGCGAACTGTCAATAATGTTAGTATTAGAAAATATTAAACCTAATTTATTACTTACATTACAGGCTACATTATCATTTTCAAGTATACCTTGTAAACCTAAAACATATTGGAATGCCTCACAATTTTAATGTATATGATCATTTATAACACTATCAGATCGTGAAGAATGTTCTTTAAGTCTAGTTATTAAGCATCTATCTATCTTACCAATATAATCACTATTACAACCTGAACATTTAAAATGATAAACAACAGAGCTCATATATTCCTTAGGGGTTTGATCTTTAGTAGATATAAAGTGAGAGACATTGCAACTAAAACACTTACAGTTAGTTTTTTTTTACACAAAATTCGTTCCTAAGACAAAACACGATGATGACGACACATCGTTAATATCGTCTGTCATCTTCGTATTCATTCGATGCCATTCCATTTACTATTCCTGTGCCATATGTACTTGTTCATATTTCCCTAATGAATTCCATCGTTCTTAAGCATGCTACTGTAGTGTCACTTGGCAAACAAAGTTATTTATTCACTTGGTACCTTTAACATAATATAAAGCCTATGCTGACTATATCAAAATACAATATAATAATGGGCCTAACAGTAATTAGGATGTATGAGGCTCTGTTGCATATAGGCCTACTTGTACATGACTTATAAAGTGTAGGACATAAACCACCCAGGACATAAACCACCCGGACGAAAACCACCCAAACTGGAATATACCATTGTGAAAGTAGGGGGTGGGCAATGTTGGGTGGGCCTGTTTTATCACATTCACAATTGGATAGATTACACTGTGACTGTGACCTATTATACGCCTTTAATTCATTCAAATCTTTTGACAACATGCACGTATGTTAATAATCATTGTAGATTTTTCCTGATTTCAGTGGTATTCATTTCAGTAATCACCGTGCTTAAAGTTTGTATTTTCCTAATGATTTTAACACAACAATTTGTATTTTTCTAATGATTTTAGCACAACAATTAACTTCAAAGTTTAATGAAAATTGAAATACATTTAATAATATTAATTGTTTTAGTCTAAAAAGTCATATTTTTTTAGTAAAGTTTTATTTAATACATTAATAAAAAAAATGTTCTTTCTTGGTATGGTATTTGTCTAATATTATAGTATTCACAAGGAATAATAATAATGATAATAATAGTAATAATAATAATAATCATAATAATAATGTGAATGTAAAGTCATATCCAATAATGAGTGTATGTTAATAAAATATTCATGTTAATAAGATCTTACTATTTTATATTTTATCTCTTATGATTGAATTGTCACTACTGTATAATTAATATTTCTTACTTGCATTAATGACAGATATAAAGAAACGAAACATACACAGTAGTAGTAAAACCAATTTATTTCCATACCAAGATAAAAACGTTATTAATCTATTCAAACTTTACTAAAATTTCAACAAATGAAAACTACAAATGCCTTTAAATTGGTGTATGTTTCGTTTCTTTATAACTGTCATTAAGGCCAAGTAAAAAAAAAAACATGTTTCGCGTCCCCGCCCGCATCGTTTTTTTCGCCCGCCTTGATTTTTTTTATATTTTTTATTTTTGGAAAATTCATGAAAATAAAGAAAAAATATATCGAAAATTTAGAATTAAATGTTGGAAAATAAATACCCTAGCCTAAAATAGTGC